TTAGTAGTTAAGTTGTTTATCCAATTCCCTAGTTGTCAGACTCATGTTGAACAGGGATTTACTCTGATAACAACTTAATGGTTAGGACACAGACCTGTGGGTTACAGATGCTAATGCTAATACTCTGATAACAACTTAATGGTTAGGACATAGACCTGTGGGTTATAGATGCTAATGCTAATGCTAATGCTAATGGGTCTGGTCTCTGGACCGGTGCCTTTTTTTGTAAATATCGGCGGCCAACCGGATCCAGATATCGGATCGGGACCAGCCTAGTGTCTAAATCTCCCATAACACAGAGAAAGAGAAAAAGTTGTCCCAACCCGATCCAAATCTTAGGAATAATGGCTGCTGTTATTTATTTATTCATCTATTCGTTTGATGGTATTGTCTGCTTTAGTTGTGTTCTGGTTTCTCGCTCCCAGGGCTTCAATCTGAGGCTCATTTCCATGGAAACAGTAGCTGAACATACAAGACCCGTGTTGAATGAATTCTTTTGGGCTCAAGTATTACATTTCAAATCAAAGCTTGACACTGTTCCCGGATAAGAAAAAAATGTATATCCAAGAAATAAACTTTAAACCAAATGGAGGCAAATTAGGAAACGCCTCCAGTACAGAAAACAATGTGCATTTCTGCCCCTGCAAACATTGGAAAACCAGGAAATGAGCTCATAACACGCATTAATGCTACTTTTACCCATATTTGCCATGCTTTTCAAAGCTATTCTGCTTATTCTGTCAAATAGAAAAAAGAGAAAAGAAGTCAAGAAATGATTAGTGTGCAATGCTTTATCACTTGAGTTATTTTTTTTTAAATGAGTCTTTAAAACCTAGCATGAGGCAATAAAAAAAAAATCCCCTTTGATGGACTGAGATAACTACACTTACAAGCTTCTGCATGTTGTACAACAATGATGGATTCCAGAGAACAGATTGTGTACCTGTTGCTGTGTTACAGTCAGAGCCAAGAAATGAGACACAATACATATCTAACCATCAGTTAGAAGTTATTTCCTCAATCACGGGATGAGTCACCCCAACTGTAATAGCTTTTCTTTTAATTTCAACAGAAACTGTGCGTTCATCAGTTAAAGACAGGGGCAGATCAAACCTGTTTTTAGAGCCACTTTTCCACAGACTCTGTCCTGAAAGCTGATTTTCTTAAGAGGAACTGGAACCAGCTGCTTTTTATCAGTTTGTTCTCAACATAAAACCAGAATCTCAACACCTGGGGTATTTATTTATTTATTTATTTATTTATTTATTTGAATAGGGACAAAGCACATTAATGAACATCAGTATAAAACAAATGTAAATATGCCGGATTATAGCTACAAAGCTAGTTTTCATCCGTAGTCCCTAGTCAGGAAAATACATAAGAAAGAACATATAATATACAATATAAGCATCACAAGGAAATGTTAAGAGTTTAGTGGTCACATGACTGGTTTGTTCTCATCCATAGCTTGAGTTGAGCTCTAAAGCTGGAAGACTGTTCCAGATGTTAGTGGATGTTAGTGTTCTGACCAAAAGTTTAAGCTTTAAGGCCTTTGAGTGACCCCTGATGTGATGTGGTGATTGGCCTATTAATGCCAGAACCAGTAAACAAAACAGGAAAAAAAGACAGAAATCAACAAGGTCACTTCTAAGTGTGTAACTCGGCTCATCTTGTAGTTTAAAAAAGCCCTTCTTGAGATGTAGTTTATCTTGGAAAGAGACAGCTTTGAAAAGGTTGTGTGCCGACTCTGATTAGAGAGCTAATTAGTAATTAAGTGTTGGCGTGTTTTCAAGTAAAAAAAAAAAGCACTTGGCTTGAGAAATCCTCTTTGCTTGAGCTTTTTAGTGTGGTTTGAGTCCCCATTTTGTGCCACGGAGCCTGAATGTCAGGAACCTGAGTGCAGATAACCGAGCGTCTGTTCAAAGAGACTCTTCAGAGCTCTTTTTTTTTTTCGGTCGTGCATTCGTGGAGCTGAAGGCTGCCTTTTGATGTACCAGAAGTAGATTGCTAATTGGCATCTCACAAAGGAATCAGATTGGATGACTCTGCATTTGGTGAGGCAAGTAGATTCCACATCCAAGAGCTCTGACAAGTGCGTTAGCTTTGAGGAAGAGAAGAGGCAGAACTCGTCTGATTTGAGTGAACACTGTGTTCATTTCAGCCCCTTAGTTTAATTTACTTTAGCTTCTTGATAGTCAATAAATCAGACACTCCTCTTCCTCTGTGAGGCTTTGCATTGAGGCCTTGTAGGGTTGTCACGATACTAACATTTTCAACTCGATACTCAGGAAAATACTTGATACTCGATACCTCAAGGATAAAAACAAAAACCCCAAAATTTAACTGAATTTAGACAGGTTTTTAGACTGCTTAGTGTCAACCCTAAGACTGACCCTAACCCTTCACCCTTCATAATTGTGAGAAATAAACATTTTTGGTTAAACTTGTTTGGACTTATTGTACAAACCTATTTAACATCCACTATTTTAACATTATATTATGGATAGAGTATAATTAGGTGTTTGCAAGATTCATTTCACTATTTTTAAATTAATGTCTATATTGCCATGAGGCATTACTATTTTCTTGCCTGGGATCTTCCTATTGGTGACCTAATCAAAATGGTCGACTTGGATGTGGGCGGAGTTGGATATGTACTTGATTAATGTTGGCGTGTTGTTATTAGCCATTAGCCGCAGCTAGCAGTTCAAGGCTAACGTCTTGGTAATGATCATAAACAACGTAAATAAATACATAAATAAATCGTTGGTGTCACGTCTGGGGGAATGTCTGGTGTGTTGTCATGTCTTGATTACCTATTGTGTTCACCTGGGGTTCCCCTCCCTCATGTGTTTAAATAGTCCTTGTTTCCCATGTCCTGTGCCAATGTGTCTGCGTTTTTCTGTTCTCGTCTCCCCTCGCCACGTCAGGTTTGATTTTTGTCACAGCCATGCCATAGCCTCGTTTACTTTATTGCCATAGCCTTTGTTTTTGCCACAGCCATGTTAATCTTGTTTGTACTTTGCCATAGCCACGTTTTTGTCATAGCCATGTTTTTCCACAGTCATGTTAATCTTGCTTTGTTACTTTGTCGATAGTTTTATCACAGCCTTGTTTTGAACTGTGTCTGGACATCCACTCTTTTTGAGTTTGTTTTTGTTTCAATAAACCCTGTTTTCTGAATCTCCGCGACTGAGTCCTCCCTAAGATCCACCCCTGTGACAGTTGGTATCGATACTTTTGAAAATGAGTATCGTATCCGGATACAACATTTTAGTATCGATACTTTTGACCACCCTACGGCCTTGTGATTCATCCTGTTTTTTCTCTCTCTCTTTCTTTTGGTAAAACCAAACAGCCCGGCCCATGACGAGGATGAGTCTAACCCTCTAACGCCTCTAACCCTAACCCTGACCCTGACCCTAACCCTAACCCTAACCCTAACCCTGACCCTGACCCTAACCCTGACCCTGATCCTAACCCTCCACCCTTCATAATTGTGAGAAATAAATATTTTTTGGTTAAACTTGGCGGAGTTGGATATGTATTTGATTAATGGTAGCATGTTATCATTAGCCATTAGCCGCAGCTAGCAATTCAAGGCTAACGTCTTGGTAATGATCATAAACAACCTAAATAAATACATAAATAAATCGTTGGTGTCACGTCTGGGGGAATGTCTGGTGTGTTGTCATGTCTTGATTACCTATTGTGTTCACCTGGGGTTCCCCTCCCTCATGTGTTTAAATAGTCCTCGTTTCCCATGTCCTGTACCAGTGCATTTGCATCTTTCTGTTCTCGTCACCCCTCGCCACGTCAGGTTTGATTTTTTGTCACAGCCATGCCATAGCCTCGTTTACTTTATTGCCATAGCCTTGTTTTTGCCACAGCCATGTTAATCTTGTTTGTACTTTGCCATAGCCACGTTTTTGTCATAGCCATGTTTTTCCACAGTCATGTTAATCTTGCTTTGTTACTTTGTCGATAGTTTTCTCACAGCCTTGTTTTGAACTGTGTCTGGACATCCACTCTTTTTGAGTGTGTTTTTGTTTCAATAAACCCTGTTTTCTGAATCTCCGCGACTGAGATCCACCCCTGTGACAGTTGGTATCGATACTTTTGAGAATGAGTATCGTATCCGGATACAACATTTTAGTATCGATACTTTTGACAACCCTACGGCCTTGTGATTCATCCCGTTTTTCTCTCTCTTTCTTTTGGTAAAACCAAACAGCCCGGCCCATGACGAGGATGAGTCTAACCCTCTAACGCCTCTAACCCTAACCCTGACCCTAACCCTAACCCTAACCCTAACCCTAACCTTAATCCTGACCCTAACCCTAACCCTGACCCTAACCCTGACCCTAACCCTAACACTGACCCTAACCCTAACCCTGATCCTAACCCTCCACTCTTCATAATTGTGAGAAATAAATATTTTTTGGTTAAACTTGGCGGAGTTGGATATGTATTTGATTAATGTTGGCGTGTTCATTATTATTAGCTATTAGCTGCAGCTAGCAATTCAAGGCTAACGTCTTGGTAATGACCATAAACAACGTAAATAAATACATAAATAAATCGTTGGTATCAATACTTTTGAAAAGGAGTATCGTATCCGGATACAACATTTTAGTATCGATACTTTTGAAAA